TCGCACTTTGGGGTCCTCATGGGACGTGCAGGGCTCCGGGGGTGAGGGGGGTAAGCCCAGTCACGACGCGACAAGTCGAGAGCAGCTCGGCGAGCCGAATTTTGAGTTGTCGGGGGCCTTGTCGGTTGCTGCGAAGGGGGAGCGAGGGGCGTCTTTGTCGGCTCCGGTGGCGGCGGCCAAGGGGGCGGTGGCGGCGGCCAAGGGGGCAGCCAAGGGGGCGGCTAAGGGCGCAACGGCGGCGAAGGGTGCCGCCGCCCGCTCGGCGGCCGCGGGGGACCGCGTGCAAGGCAAGTTCCAGGGCTCGCTCGGCGGCTGCAATTGGTACAATGGCACCGTGACCGAGGTGCGCGGTGACCCCGACATCCGAGAGGGCCGGAGAGGAACCTCGGCTGAGGACTCTCGGCTGCTCGAGAGTAGGTGCGCAGCGACGGCCGCTTCGACATCTGCTACGACGACGGCGACACGGAGCAGGCGGTGCCGCCGGAGTTTGTCAAGGTCGGCTCGTCGAGTGGCGCCGGTCGGCCGCCCGCCAAGCGAAAGGCTGCCGGCGGCGGAAAGGCTGCTGCTGACAAGGGCGCGGGGCGAGCCAACGGCGTCGGCGGCTCCTCGGCGGCGGGCCAGAAGCGCAAGCTCTCGAAGGTGGACGAGGCGGACTGGCTCGAGTCGCGTTTCTCGCCGCTCGCCGCCGAGTCGTCCAAGCTGGCGCGCGGCGTTGCCGACGCTTTCGCCGAGCTGCCGCCCGAGGAGCAGGCGCGGCTGCTGCCGCTGCTGCCCGAGTGCGACCGCGACCCGGCGGCGCTGCAGCGCGCCATGCGCTCGGAGCAGTTTGAGCAGGCCTTCATGAATTGGCGCGCGCGCGCCCCGCCGTCGCGCCAGCGCCGAGGCTGCGCCCGCCCTCACGTTTGCCACCCGCCGCAAACGCGTGCAGGCAGCAGCAGCTGGCTTCTGGCGAGTACGACCCGGCGTGCGCGGAGATGGTGCGGGCGCGTCGCTCGGCCGCCGAGCGCAAGGCCAAGCGTGCGCAGGATCTCGGCCGTGAGAGGTTGCGCCAGGCGGTGTCCGGCGCGCCGCCTCTCGGTAGCGCGTGAGGGTTGCTCGCCACCGCTACCGCCGCTCCTTCTCCCCGCGCCGCTGTCGACGTGTCGCTCTCCCTCTGGCTGAGCCTCTGCCCGCTTCCCAGCCGCCGCACTGTTCACTGCCATGCGCACCCTAGCAGGTTCGCTCCCCCCCCCCCCCCCCTCCCCCACTCCGGCTCGACCCCCCGCTAGCTGCGTGGCCGAGCGTTCCTTTTCAGCCTCTGGGCCCGCCATGCCCCACCCTCCGCCAAGATCTCCCGTGCTCCCTCCCTTCAGACATCTGCCCCTCTGCCCCTCTCCGGCTCGTAGTCGTCGTTAAGGAGCGGTTTTCGGAGCCGTACCGAGGGGGTCCAAAACGGGCGAACATGCGTTTTTCGACGACCACACGCGCGATGTGTTTGGCTAGTTCCATTTCACTGTGGCACAGCTCGCGTTATACAAAACCTTGATTTTGACCATTGCGCGAAAAATGTACCTCTCGGCGGTGCCTTCCAGAGGCAGGAGCTGCGACCCCGCCGAGTAGACGGGCGCACACAGCAGGTGGCGCGGTGTGCGCCCGTCCACTCGGCGGGGTCGCAGCTGCCTCTGCGCGTCCTGGGGAGGTACATTTGTTGCGCACCGGAGACGACTCGACGCCGCTGAGATCGGAGATCAAGCTCTGACAGGTCACACGTCGCTCCTTTGACGCCGACATGACTCAGTCACCCGTGCAGAGCACCTCAGTACACGGTCTCGACGCGCTCGCTACGACGCCTGTGAGCTGTGACCCGTCTCGGGTCAGGTGGCACGACGCTCATCGCGTATAGGTCGCGGCCTTTCGATAGCAACTTGGGACGTCATCACCAACGCCCATCTCGCTGAGGCGCTGCAGCTCCTTTGCAATGTCCATCTTGCAACGCCCGAAGCTTGTGTACCGGAAGTCTTGCTCATTCGTGCACGTGGACAGCACATCGCAACCCAAGGCTATGCGCAGCTGAGCGAATGACGACTGGTTGTCCACAACGATTTTCCCCTTCTTCTTGTCGAATCGTAAGCTCCCACCCCCTCGACCAATGCCCCTGTAGACCCCACCCCTGGTCCCGGGCCCCACAAGCTCCATTGCTGCCACTAAGTCGCCGTGCTGGGGTACTCGATGCTGCCTGTGGATGAACGTCCGGTGCTCACGCATGCTCACGCGCTGCTCTTCGGTGAGGTACTTTGCCTCCGCATAGGGCAATACCTCCCAATGTTGCTGGTTGTGACGCTCAAAAAGGATGTTGCCGTCGCGGTCCATCACCCACAATGCCACAAATAATTTGGTGCATGCTTCGGATCGATGCCCCGGTAGTTATCCTCACCTTCCTCGGCCTTCAAGAAGAAACCTGGTTTCAAGTATTGGTCTTTGGTGAGGTTCTGGCGAGCTCCATCAATATATGCAGCCGCTTTGTTACCATCGTGGCAAATGATAGCAAACGTGGGCGGCAAATGATACACGCAACCACTGTATAAGAAAAAACCTGCACGCCTATCTTTGATCTCTTCTGCTTTCTCTCTGTCTTGTGCAGCTCGGTCTCCAGGGCTTTCTGGGTTCAGCGACGTGAGTTCCATTTCGCGCTGCATACAAGGATTGCCTCGTGGCGACACCACAGCATCGAAACCCTCACCGTCGAGTTCTCGAGCAGTGCACTGTCTGGCTTGCCGCAGTACTCCCTAACTGTCATCCCGTCCAGCAAGTCTGCTGGGTCCACACCAGGGAGCCGGAGGCCCACGTCGTCAAGGTTTTTGTCAAAGTGGGCGCCAGAAGAGGATTTGAATTTCAAATAGAACGCGAGTTGGGGACTTTGACTGGCTGGCTCGGACCCGGGGACGCCATGTGCCTTGTAGAGCCAATGTCCGACAGCGGTGGCACCAGCAGCGGCGATGACCAACGGCATACACACACACACACGCACAACCTGGGCTCGGGGAAAGCACAGTTCTCGTACAGGTGCCTGGAAAAAGCTCTGAGCACCGCTCTCAATTTCCAGGTTCTCCATGGCCGCTGGTGGAGCTCCCACAAAAGATGCTAGGCAAATTTGATCCAGAGACCTGCAACAATCGTAAAACACCAATGCTTTTCCGACTGCCCAATCAGAAGACGTAGCATATCACTTGGCCATGGGCTCTCGAAGGGTATCCTACAATGACGTGCGTGGGACATCAGAGGCATGGTCCCAGCCCCCTTGCTAGTCCTTCAGTACTTGAATCTGGAAATACTGAAGGACCAATCATTATGGTATGGGACCTAACATTCTGAAGACCCGCCTCCTTGCTAGTCCGTCAATATTTGAATACTGAAAGACCAAGCATTCTGGTATGCTACATTCTGACGACACGCCCCCTTGCTAGATAGATGAGCAGGGGGGTCCGGGGGGCGATAGCCCCCCGGTGAAACCAACTGACGGCGTCCCAACAAATCTGCCCATCTGGTAAGACCCCTGGGGTACCGTGTGCAGGAACCAAATATCACACTGGCTGGCCCCTGTGCAATAGGTAGGTAGGTCCGGTTTTGACCGCCCCAGAGGCCCCCGCAATAGGTAGGTAGGTGGTGGTGGTGGGGTGGGGGTGGGGGGGGGGTTTAAAAAACCGCTTCGCTCGCGCGGGAGACGGCGCGTTTAGCCGCGAACGGGGCCATGCCAGACGTGTCGCCTGAGGCTGGGACGCCAGCCGAGACGGGTGCGGAGGCGGCGCCGCCTATTCACAGAGGGCTCAACGGGTATTTTTCGCTTCGCTGCGCTGCCCCGCAATAGGCAGGTAGGTGGGGCACGGAGCCTGGCGGTTGGCGCCCGCAATAGGTAGATAGGTAGGGCGTTTTGGCGCGACTCAGTGCGCAGACCCCCTATCTGGCTAGGAGCCGGAACCCAGGGCGAAACCGACTTTCGCGCCGAGCATGGATGCTGAGAGCAAGAATGGCTCCGGCGCCCTCCTCGTGGAGCTGAACGCACCCTGGCCTCCGGCGGTCGGCCTCGTCTCTCGTGCGGCGGGACGGGCCGTCCGTGAGCAGCCAGCCAGCTCCGCCGTGCGCTTTGGGTGCACACAGCTCGAGTGGCGACGGCTGCAGCAGCTCACTCGTGCAGCGCGCGTGGTGCACTCCGAGCTGGGTGAATATTACGCCGACCGCGCCGTGGCCGCGACCCTGCCCGAGCGCGGCCGCCGCCTGGCGAGCAGGCCTGCGGCTCCGCTCCGAGGGAGTGTGGGAGGGTATCTCAGCGAGGAGGAGCAGGCCGCGGAGTTCAAGCGGCTGGCGGCAGCCTACCCGTCGTGGCTGGCCCCACCGGAAACCGTCGGCCGCTCGCGCCAAGGGCGGCCCATCTGGCTGCTCTGCGCGAGCCGGGACCTTCTTGGCTGCAGGCAGACAGCGCACTACAGAGGAATGCGCAAACCTCTCGCACATTCACACACACACGCGTACCGTCGCCAAGAGACTCTCTCTCCGTCGCCTGCAGGCCTTCCCGCCAGGCCGGCGACGAGAGGGGCGGCAAGCCAGCGGTGCTGTACACCGCGCTGCTGCACGCGAGAGAGCCGGCGTCGCTCGCGTGCTTGCTGCACTTTTTGCGCACGCTGCTGCACTCGGCGGAGGAGGGCGACCCAGGCATCCGAATCACACACCACACCGTTCAAGACGACCACGAGAGAGAGGATGAGAGGGGGGGTGCGGCCCAGGCGCCAGTAGTCAACAATGACGCCCGTAAAAGTGCCGAGGCGGTGCGGGGCCGCCAGCTGCTGCTACTCCTCTTCACAGCCCCAGCCGTGAACAGGTGCCGCCGAGTTGCTCTCTCGCCGCAAGCTCCTCTTCCTCCCCAGCCTCAACCCCGACGGGTGGGCGTGGAACGAGCGCAGGCTGCCATCATTGTCATGATTACGACGAGTACTGCACGGGCTCTTCACACCGCGACGTGTGAACAGGTGGCCGAGAGGCGGCGGGATGAAGCGGAAGAACGGGCTCCGCACGTGCAGCCGCCGCAGCGCCGACGACCAGATCACAGACGGCGTCGACTTGAACCGCAACTTTGGCTTCCAGTGGGGGTACACGCAGGAGGCGGGCTCGAGCGGCCGCGGCTGCGACGAGGAGAGCTGCGCGGCTGGCTTGTGCGAGCTGTGAGCGGCGTCTCCTCACGGCTGCGGGTGTGGTCAGGAGTATCGTGGCGCGGCGGCCTTCTCCGAGCCCGAGACGCGCGCGGTGCGGGACGTGATGGACGCCCACGCGGTGCGGGCGGTGTTGCACTGGCGCGAGCAGAGGGGGGGCGGGGGGGGGCGGGGGGCTCTCGCTCTGCAGTTACCGCCTCTGGCTGTGATCAGGCACGGCTGGGGCAACTCGCTCGCCTACCCGTTTGCGTATGACTGGCACGCACCGCTGCGCTCGGCAGCAGCTGTTTGAGCCCTCTATTTGTGCCATTCTTCTCCCTCCCTGCAGGCACGCGCCGCTGCCGTCGGCCGAGTTGGAGCGCTACCAGGAGCTCAGCCGCGCCATGACTTCGCTAAACGGCTACAGCCACGGCGGCGATTGGGAGGGCGTCGGCCACACGCCGACGGGGACGTGAGCTGAGCCGCGACGTTGCGTCCCTCAGGCCGCGCTTGGGAGTCGGTCGGCTACCACGCAAATGGCGAGGCGGACGATTGGGGCTACGGCACGCGCGGCCTCCTCTCGATGTCTCTCGAGGTTGGCTCGTCGCGCGACGGCTTCTGGCCCTCACCCGCTCGCATCGGCACCCTCTCGGCCGCAACGCTCTGGCCCGCGCTGACTTTCGCGCACCGCGCCGCTGCCGTGCTGCAGCTCCACTCGCTGCAGCTACAGCCGGCAGCCATGATTAGTCCCCAATCCTGAGCAGCGGCGAATCCTTCTCTCTATTGATCGGCTCCCCTCGCTGCAGCAGCTGCCGCCGAGCGACGAGATGGGCGGCGACGGCACGGGCGAGGCGGGGGCGGGGAACGGGCGCACCGGCGTGTGGCTCCAGCTCAACGTGCACAATGCCGGCCTGCACGACATCCGATGTGCGAGGTGACATTCTGTCAAGCGCACTAGAGATTGGCATGAGTACTCTCCTGTAGGCCTCGCCGACCCTCCGGCGCGGTGGCGGCTGTGCGTGCAGGCGCCGGGAGGGTGGGCCCACATGCTGCCGGCGGCGGAGTGGCGCTCGGGCGGACAGGTCGAGCAGGGCCCTGCCAACGCGAGCCAGCTGCGGCGCTGCGCGGAGCTGTTTGGTCGGCGCCGCCGCCCGCGGCAGCTGCGCGGCCTCGCGCGAGGGGAGGAGAGAATCGCCGAGATAAGCGAGATGCGACGAGATGCGACGAGGCAATCACGACGAGGCCTCACTGCACGAGATTGTGCTCCACCCCTGCACTCACAGGCGTGGCGGCTTCCGCCGCTCGGGATCGTTTGGCAGCGCACGGGCGCGAAGCCGTGGCTACGCCTCGCGCTGAGCTTCGAGCCCGTGGGAGACCTCTCCGCCGCCGCCGCCGCGCTCATTGCACCGCCTCGCTTGCTCGAGGTCGCAACGGACCGCAAGACGCTTTCTGTGTGCGACGACCTCTGCTTCTGCGCCGCCCCGCGGCCCGCCGAGTCGAGTGGCGCAGCGGCGCCGTGGGCGGCGTCCACGGTGCAATACGCCCGCAGCTGCCGCGCCGCTCGGCCAGAGGGGTCCGAGTGCGGCAAGCCAGCGGTCGCGCAGCGCAGCCCCGCGAACCGGGCGTCTGGGACGGCGAACCAGTTCTTTGCCTACACGCCCTCCCGCGGCGCCGCGCGCTGCACTGTGAGCGCGTCTCACTTGGGCTTGGTCCTCGTCGTCTACCGCTCGTGCGGACGCCTCGGGCCGCAGCAGCCGGTCGGGTTCGGCAACACGGAGCGGCGCCGAACGCTTCGCGTGTCCGTCCCCTGCGAGAGCGGGCAGCCGCTAATCATCTACTGGTCGGCGGAGTACGCCCCCGGGAGCTTCTTGTTTGCCGTGAGCGAGGAGCCGGGCAGCAGTGCGCACCGCCACCGGGCATTGTAGCCAGGAGAGGACCCCCCCCCAGCCTACACCACACGCACAGTCCTCGGCCGCACGCCTCGCGGATTCGGCGCTCGAGCGAGCCTCCTCTATCCCTTTAAAGGCTAGTTCCATTTCACTCTGACACGCGCTAATCTCTTGAAAACGTCTCCAACGGAGCTCCATGTTGCTCCCAGCGCCATCCCCCGCGCTCCCTGCGGCCATGGTCGATGATCCTAGTAAGTAGTATGAGAGGTCATCGGCTACCGCAACGGAGCGACCCAACTCGTCGACATCGTCGTTCGTCCGAACGTGATGGTGTGCCTCAAAGTCAGCCTTCGGAGGCTATCGTGGGGGTCGAGCCCTTAGGGGACCCAGTCGGTTCTGGGCCGGATTTTTTTAAGACCTTTTAAGAAACGAGGAGGTTTGGGGGCTTAAAATTGCCATTTAAGACGCCGTTTTCTCTGGGGGGAGGCGGGGGCCCCCGGAGGCACCGTGCGCCGCGCAGCAGTGCGGAAACGGGGCTCCGGCTCTTCTAGTCTCTACTAGCACCGACTTCCCGAATGATCACGGTTGATCAGAGGGCAGATTTGGAGAGATCTCGAGGAGTACATACAGATAGACCCTCTAAACCATAAGAAACTTCCAACCTGATCGGTCGTACTGACCGCCGACAGATCACTCCAGACAGCAGACAGGCCGACGTCTGCACACGGCCGGCCGGGCGAGAGGCTTGACACGATCCGACCCTGCGACCCTGACGCTGCTGCTCTAGCTACCAGACATGCGCTGCTGACTGCTGCCACAATGTGCGACCGGTGCTGACCCACTTGGCGGCCTTCCCGGTCAGTGGTGAGGCGCAGTTCAGAGCTGTCGATGGCGCGATGCCGCACTGGTCCCACATCGGTGACACGAGACCACCACGTTTGCCGGTCCAAGAGAGAGGCACCGGCGCTGTCCTGAGAAGGTGCATGGTCCCTCTTGACTGCCCATGCGCGCGAGGCTGTGTAGGCATAGCCTCGAGAGTGCCAGCAGCCAATCCGAGGCAGTTTGTGACGCGCATTGCGTCAGAAGCGTGCACGCGCTGGAAGGACACCTTCCTACTGGCCGTACGATCAGGTCGTCACTGAATGCCGAAGACTAAGGCCGCGAGCTATGCAGGCGGTCAGTTGAGCAGCATGGCACGGTCAGCAGCGCCGAAAGGATGTCGCAAGGCGTGATAGCATGGCCGCAAGTACGCCGAATTCCCCCTAGGGCCCTCGCCTCCCCCCAGAGGCCGTTTTCTCTAATACTGCCGTTATTAGGCACAAACCCGCCTCTGAAGACACATCTGTAAGTCTGGGGTGCACTGGCAGGAGCCATACTCGCATAGGGGGACGCGTGCTAGCTGACTGTAGCCAGCTTCCCGGCCTCCGGCGTCTACCGGGAGCCTCCCGGACCATCGACCTCGGGAGCTCTCCCGCACCGTTTAAGCGTTTAAGACCGTTGAAGGAATTGGCGGCCCAGCAGCTCTTAAAACCGGCCTAGGCCGGTTTTAAGCCGTTTAAGCCGCAGGCGCCCCAGGGGCGCCCACCCTTTTAAGCCTAGGGGTCCCCTAAGGTCGAGCCGGCGGTGGCCGTGACATGTGGTTCCACCACCCCTCGTAGGCTTTGCCTCTGACCGCCACCGTTCCCAGGCTGCCTAATGATATGGAAAGGAAGGCTCGGCGAGCGTATAGAAGCGTGCTCGACCTCGTCGTGGCAACCTGCACGGCAGCGCTGGCAGGCGCGATGAGCGTCGTGCCACCTGACCCGAGACGGGTCACAGGCGTCGTAGCGAGCGCGTCGAGACCGTGTACTGAGGTGCTCTGCACGGGTGAGTCACGTCGGCGTCAAAGGAGCGACGTGTGACCTGTCAGAGCGTGATCTCCGATCTCAGCGACGTCGATTCGCCTTCGGTGGCGACAGCTAGGATGCATATCCTCTTTCGTTTTTCGTCCGATGGCCCTCTCTGGGAAGCTGGCGGGTGCACGCAGACGGACCTTGTGTGTGCACGGAACGCTTAAAAAGTGGGTGCTCTACCGCGTCACTTTTTTGAGTAGATCGTGCCCCGAGCTGGCCGTCTATTTATACATTATATAATATATTTTACAGTGAAATCGGGAACAGCCAAAGCACTGTGTGGAACGCGCTTGCGGATGCGCGCCCCAAAATGTCCGCCTCAAAAGGCCTCGTTCTCGCCCCTTTCCTGTACGCGTGGGTCTCAGAGGACGAATGCGCACCGGACCTTCGAGGACATCAAAGTCGGCTGCGCCCTACGGCCATCCAGCCGGCTCTCGAGTGTCGCAGCGCGACGCGCTTCACCCCTCGACTCCGCGCTGCGAGTCGATCTGGAGACGACGCTCGGCCACCGCCAACTCCACCCTGACGCGTCGCACATGCGCCGAGTGTCCCCCCCGAGGGTGTCCTTGTATAGTATGCTTGGTTGCGAGTTAAAAAAAGCCCGTTCCGCACCCGCAGCCAGCAGCAGTACACATGCCGTTCTGGTGCCCCTCGGCTGGCCAGAGGACGACTCACAATGCAAAATCGGAAAGACGTCACGAGGGGCCGTATAAACGGTACCGCAGCGGCCCGGGACACTAACAGTGAATTGCTGCCACTCGCCCGGCCTCCTCCCCCTCGGGGTCGCCCGGAAAGTGGGCTTGCGCACCGGCGCCCCCCCCAGCACGCCGACCCGAGGTGTACCCTCCGGCCACCTGGGCGGGGAGCGGAGTCCGATTTTGGCCCATTGGCTTCATCATGATGGATACGGAGGTGGCCAGCCCTTGGTTGTGCACCTGCGGCGCGAAGAGGAGGTGATCTCGGCGGACGACGGCCGTGCCAAGAGCGGGTGCAGCGCGGAAGAGGGTGCGCAGCGCGTCGCGGCCGCGCGCTTGGGAGCCGGGGGGATGGCCGGAGGGGGTGGGACGCCTGCATGTCCTCGAAGCTCCCACCCGCATACGCAAGCCGAGCCGCGAACGGCGGGGAGGGAGTTTTGGAGGGTCAGCCAAGGACGCGCATGGCGAGTGACAAATAGAGGCGACTTCGCTCTACACCGGTTTGCCATCGTGAGTCTTTCGCGGTTCGCGCGCGGCCTCGCGACGCCGCCGCGACGACGGGCCGACAGTGTTTTCTCAGAGTTACTCGAACAAAACGGGTATAGCAGCAATTTCTCAGCCCCGGGCCGCTCGCGCCTCGCGCGGCCGCTGCTCACGCGAGATGTTCTTCGAGCGCGAACGACAACGACGCACCACACGACGATCTGCAGGAGGTATCGCGGGACACAGCCGCTGCGCAGGCTCGGCTCACGGGCGCCGCAAGGCAGCCCGGGGCATCAGGGAGAGGGCAGGTGTGGGTGGGTGGGTGGGGAGAGTGGGGGCGGGTCCAACGGTAGCGTGCGGGTCCAACGGTAGGGGAGAGTGGGGGCTTGGAGAGGGGTAGTGTACACGGCTCCGATTCAGTGCGCGGAGCCGGACGCCGCCTACTTGCGGGAGGAAGAGGTGTGAAGAGGCGCCCCTGAAAGCGGCGCGGGCTCCTGCCAGTTGGTCGCCTGCGCCAGCAGCGGTGAAGGCAACGACGGCTCCGCTGGCGGCGGTGGGGGCGGCGGCCGCGGCGGCGGGGGCGGCGGCGTGGGATCTTCTGCTGGCGGCGGCGGCGGCGGCGGCGGTGGGGGCGGCGGTGGGGGCGGCGGCGGCGGAGGAGGAGGCGGTGGCGGGGGCGCTTCAGCTCCTGGCGGCGGCGGCGGCGGCGGCGGGGGTGGTGGCGGCGGCGGGGGTGGTGGCGGGGGTGGCGGGCGCGGTTCCGGCGCTTCTTCTACTGGCGGCGGGGGCGGGGGCGGGGGCGGCGGCGGGGGCGGGGGCGGCGGCGGCGGCGGCGGCGGCGGAGGCGGATGCTCGGTCTGGATGCCCTCCTCCCGGCTGGTGTCGGTGCGAGGCGACTCGAGGCTGACCAGACTGCTCTCCTCCACACTCTCCGCGAACGGATCGCCGCCGTCCGCGGCGCTCCCAATCTCCTCCTCCTCCTCCTCCTCGCGGGTGTCTCCTCCGCCCGCCGCCGCCTGCGCCTACAGGGACGCTCCGAAAGCGCTCGAGTAGCAGGGGAGGCGCCGCCTTCCCGCAGGAGCCTGCGCCTCGGGCGTTGTCGGGGCGGCGGCGGCCGGCGGCGGCGGGGGCGGGGGCACGGCCGGGACGCCAGTCTCCGCCTATCAATGATCGGCCAGCTATCGACCTGCGAGTCCTGCTTTCCCTCGACGGCCGGAGCGCCACGCCGCGCCCCCACCTCCGGCGCAGATCGAGCGGGCGCTCGACTCTCGCCAGCCGCGAGCCCAAAGTCCAAGCCGGCCGCCGCCGCAGCGGCGTGGAGCTCCGGCGGCAGCGAGAGTGGCACAGCCGGGCCGCCCTCGAGCTGGGACCGGATCGAGCGCTCCACCTGATGCGTAGCTACGGATGGCGGAGGAGCTCCAAAAGGCAGCAGGGAGGCAACAGGCCGCGGTGGCGAGGAGAGGCGAGGGCGAGGGACGAGAAGGAGGAGTCCGGGGAGGGCGAGGAGACCCTCTCTCGCTCCCTCTCTGGCGGGGAGGGCGCGCCTGCTCTGCGAGCCGCGCCGTCATCTCCGAGTCAGCCTCCTCCGCCGCAGCCGCAGCCGCAGCGGCGGACGAGGAGGGTGGGTTCGGGTACCGTGGGGTAGGGGACGAGGAGGGGCCGGCGGTGACGGCTCCGGCCACCGGCGCCCCCTCTGCAGGCGGCGGCGGCGCCTCGACTGCTCCTCCGCCGCCGCCCGGCCCTGCCGGCGGTGCCGCCGCCGCCTCGGCGAGCGAGAGGCGGATCGCCTCCATCAGCATCAGCTCGTCCAGCTCTGCCTCCCACGCCGCTCCGCCGCCGTCCGAGTCGTCGCCGCCGCCGCGCTGCAGGGCGGCGGCGGCCGAGGCCAGGGTCTGCTCGTCGAAGGCCACCGCGTCCGACGCGGTCGCCGCAGCGGTGCCGAGGCTCGCCTGCGACTCGAGCGCCTGCTGCGCCAGCGCCCAGCGGCGGTCGTAGTCGAGCTGGAAGTCGTCTGCCGCCGGGGAGTCGCGCCCCGCCGACGGCGAGAGCTGCGGCGAGAGGCGCAGCGAAGGCGCCAGCACGCGGCGCGGGGAGGAGGAGGCGGGGGAGGCCTGGAAGGGGAGGGTCAGGGACGGGCCGGGGGTCAGGCAGCGGTCAGGCAGCGGTCAGAGAGGCGGGGCAAGGTAGAGAGAGAGGCGGAAGGGCAGGGGGAGAGGGGCGAGGGTCTCCTCCGCCGATGCTTGGGTCGGCGCCGCGTGCGAAGTGGTGGGAGACAGCGCGGCGGCGGCGCCCGGCTCGTCGCCGGCCGCGGCCGCCGGAGGCCTGCTCGGCGTCTGCACCTGCGAAACACAGCAGGGCGAGGCGCGTCTGGGCGGGGAGGATATTGACGCGGCAGAGGGGTGCTCGATGAGAACGTGTGCTCAAGTCTCGCGGCGCAGGTGGCGCGGGTCTAGTTGCCCTCGGGCAGCGGGGAGGGCGGCTGTGGACGGCAGCGGCGGCGCCGGGCGAGGGACACGAGGCGTCTCGGAAGTGACGCGCGCCGGCTCGGGCTCTTTCCGCGCGGAGGCGAGCGCGAGCTGCTCCTCCTGCCTCGCCTTTGCACGGGCGGCGGCGGAGGGCGGGCCAAAGTAGCCCACGGTGTAGTTGTCCTTCTTGCAAAAGGGGCAGCTGACCCCGCGCGACGACATGCGCGGCGCCACCTGCAGGTAGCACTCGGTGCAGATTGGCTGCTTGCAGCAGGAGGAGCGGTTCAGCCCGCCCGGAAAGTTTAGCATGCAGATGGGGCACTCGTCCAGGTGCGGCGAGGCCTCATCCTGGCCCTGCACGCGCGGCGCACCGTGAGTGGAGGTGGCACACGGGGCTCGCGGGCCGAGCCGGAGGGGTGATATACAAGGGAGCGCGCACCCTCGTGCACGGCGCGAGCCGGCGCTCGAGGATGGCGCGGCGCAGGGCGCGCTCGTCAAACTCGGCGCGCTGGGACACCTTCGGGCTCGGCCGCAAATGCTCCGGAGACACCTGCGGCGGCCGGCCGGCCGAGGCCTGGTTCCCCATTGGCAGGACGATAAGCGGGCAGAGCTCGTGTTTCTTTATTGTTTTTGCCTTGCTGTGTGTTGCTCGTGCTTGTCGTCATCATCTGTCCCGCGTCCACCCATACCGCGTTGGTGTCCAGTCCGAGCCTGACTGTTGTTCATCCTTTCTACCTACCTACCTTTATAATAATTAGGTGCCCGGTAGGCTTGGCTGCAAAGGGGATTTTTGTTGTGCCGATTCGTGTGTGCTCCGCTTCTGAGAGAGAGATTTTGAGACATGAGAGAGAGAGAGAGAGAGAGAGAGAGAGAGAGAGAGAGAGAGAGAGAGAGAGAGAGAGAGAGAGAGAGAGAGAGAGAGAGAGAGAGAGAGAGAGAGAGAGAGATTTTGAGTGAGAGTTTAGAGAGAAAGAGAGGGAGCGAAAATGCATTTTTTTATTTTCGCCTCGAGCGCTGTGCTTATCTCTCTCCAACTCCATCCCTTCCTTGCTTGCGTGTCCCCCCATGCCGGTGTGTCCAGTCGCTGGCTAGCCTCTTCTAAACCAACACTCCCGTTTCCCAAGAAAAGAAAAGTAAGCCTTCCTCGATTTTCCGCGAGCGGCGTCTCGGACAAAAAGCCTGTGGCCGTCTCGGCGCAAGAAAAGCCTTGCTGCCGAGCTGTCATTCCTCTTCTGCAGGCCGCGTGCAGCGATGCGCGAGTCCTGGCGGCGCAGCCGCCCCGCCGTGCGGACCATGGCCAACCAGCCCGTCGACGCGCCCGACGACGTGACCTCAGCCGGTAATCAGCCGGTAAGTGTCGAGAGCGCCCCCCGGCCAAAAGTCGACGATCCTCGCTCGCTCGCCGCCTCGCCCCTCCCGGCGGCGCGGCGGCGCCCGCGACGGGCGGCTCGCCCCACGGCGCACCCTGCCGCCGTAGGTACTCGAGGTGCTCGCCCTCCAACGACGCCGCGGGGGCGGAGGGCCGCGACCCGCTGGGCCGGCTGGGCCGCTAGCCGGACGGCCGCCGGTTTTTGTAAAATTTCTCATCCTAAGTTATCCTACTCGAGTAGTACCCGATGAAGCTACACGCCTGGATCCCCGCGACGCCTGTTGCTCACGGACCCCGCCGCGCCCGCGCCACTCCCACCATGCGATGCGCCCTCGCTCGCCGCCAGAGGCAGCGCTGCGCCTCCTCGGCCTCGCACCGCCTGCCCCCTCCGCTCGCAGGTCGATAAAAGGATGACGCAGTTCTGTGGCCTTCTGCTCGCCCTCGCCTTGGGCAGCGCCAACAGCCAAGGGCTCCAAGCCGCTCGTCCTGGCCGTGGCAACTTGTTCGCTGCGGCTCCAACAAGTTCGCAAGGCACTGCTGGCGGTGTGGCCTCGGGGGATGATATCCACAACGCCATGGGCTACGGCACGATGGCCTCGGGGGAATACAGCTGCTGTGCGGAATACTGCAGCGACAAAACAAATCTCTGCACCGCCATGGGCTACAAGACGACGGCCCGGGGGGAATACAGCACCGCCATGGGCTACTTCACGACGGCCTCGGGGCCCTTCAGCCGGCTCCAGCACGACGGCCTCGGGGGGATACGGCACCGCCATGGGCGACGGCACGACGGCCTCGGGGGAATACAGCACCGCCATGGGCGAAAACACGAAGGCAAAAAGCTTCTCGCAGAGACAGTTGTGGGGCGGTACAACGCTCTCGGCGGCTCTCCCTCTACGAACTCCTGGGTTGCCGCTGACGCCGCATTTCGAGTGGGCATTGGCACTGGCGACTTGAACCGCAAGGATGCGCTCACGGTGTACAAGAACGGCACAGTCGTCATCAGTTGGGATGATGGTGAAGTGTCCTTCATATACAGGCGCTCGAGACCTCCTCTCGCTGCCTACTCGCTGCCGCGAGGGAGTCGGAGGACCGACGTCGGGCGGGCGCCACTGCGCTCGCCTGCACCGAGACCCTCCTGGGGGGAAGACGTCGGGTTGAGCTGGACTCGCCTGTACCGAGGCCCCCCGCCCCCAACGCGCAACGGGAGGAGGGGAAGAGGTCAGGCAGCTCTCACTTCGGTGATGAGCGCTTGGCGCGAGGCCCCTCCCCGAAAGGTGCAGCTTAGTACCCGCGAAACCGAGACCCCTCCCCGCCGCCCCGATCCCCCCACCCCCTTGCTCCCCTCCCCCCCTCGGGGGGGCCGAAGAGAGGCGCCCGTGGGGACCCCGCAATTCCCTCCCCCCCCTCGGAGGGGGCCGGACGAGGCGCACCCCGAGGGCCCCGCTCTTTCCTTCGCATAGCGGCCACTCTTCGGATCGCTGGTCGAGCGACCCGGGGGATGCCCCGCGCGCCTGACCCAGGCGCGAAAGGCGAATCTGCGAGGCGAGGCCGCTCATGCGGCCCGATGGGGAGGAACGGGGCGGACTACGGGGATGGGCTTCTACACAGCCCTTCCCAGCAGCGAGCCCCCTCACCGACAGCTCTGGGAAAAGAAAACGCGGAGGCACGTCCCGCCGGGTACCGCTTTGGACGGAACGGACGGTTGGTATCTCGCAAATACTTGATTTTTCACGCCGTGTAACAATCGTGATCAAACGGCCCTGCTGTGAGCTGGTACACCAAGAATGGCTTACCACTGCCAGGAGCCACACTGTGGCAAGCTGTGATGAGCGTGGTTTGGCTTGTGCAGCCCATACGGACGTGGTATATATACATATATGCGGCCACGTGTCGGCCGGTTCGGGGCACGAAATCCGGATTTTTCCACGGCGTAACAATCGTTGCTGTAGTGGCGCCAATGGCCGCCTCCCGTCGCGCCATTGGCACCCTAGCCAGCAGTAGCACCGGAGGCAACACCACCAAGCCCACAAGTCACAAGAGTGACGGAGATGCTTGCCACGAGCACCGTGACGCCCGACCCTGTGAGCACCGTGGGCGTATACGGCTGCATACGGTGAGATGATGCACAGCATGGCCAGACGAGGGATGCAATGCTCGCCAGCTGTATGTTAGTGAGGTATATGGATGTGATCAACATGTGTGAATCACAGGTACGCGCAGCAGCGCATGTAGCCGCTGATATCGAAGACAGCGCAAACAGGTTTTTTTGCGCCACGCACCCGATGGCCGTGCTGGTCCAACTGCGTGCACAGGAATGCTATCAGCGCGTCTCCGCCATAACTGGACATGGCAATGAAGCAGCTGAGACGTGATAACACCGGTGCTGGGCCAAGGAGGTGCCGCTCACCGCCGATTGTTACGACTGTCGTCGAAGGCGAGCGGCGGTCGCCGGGCAGCAGCTCGTGGCGATCGTCGATCCGCGAGCTGCCATGCTTGTCACAGGCCGGCACTGGATCGAGGACGATGGCGCCGCGCGGCTGGAGGCAACGGAGAAAGGCATTGTGGAGCGGCGAGGCGATTGTTACGAATTTCGAGGGTGCGGAAAAATCCGATCGCCTGGAAAAATCAAGTATTTGCTAGATAACCTCACATCCGGGGCCGGGGAGCTCGGCCGGCGTCTTTTTCTCGATGGCCGCCCACCGCATCGGCGCCCGCGTCGCGGGCCTCTCGCCAGAGCAGCTGTGCGCCATCATCGAGGCGCAGGCGGGCGCGAGCGACGCCGCGCTGTGCGTGGCGGAGGAGCATGCCGCACGGCTCGTGGAGCAGCCCGAGTGGGTGCTCTCCGAGGTCCTCCTCTCGCCGGACCTCGCCCCGCACATCCTCGCCCAGCTGCCGACCAAGGCGCACGCCGCCAAGGGGACGTGCCGCGCGTGGCGCCGCGGCTGGAAGGAGACGCTGCCGAAGCGCGAGAGGCCGCGCATGCTCGTGTTTTGCGGCCACGACAGCGATGCCGCTTTCGTCAACTCTCTGGAGCGGTACGACCCGTCAACGAATGAGTGGGAGGAGGAGGCTGTGGCGCCGATGCTGACGGCACGAAGGTGTGTCCGCACGGCGGTGCTCAACGGCAAGCTGTACTCGGCGGGCGGCCAAAATGAGGCTGACCTCGCAACTTCCAACGCGGTGGAGCGGTACGACTTGGCTACGAAATCGTGGGAGGCGGTGGCGCCGATGGCGACGCCACACGAGGGTCACGCCGTGGCGGTGCTCGACGGCAAGGTCTATGCTGTGGGAGGCTGCAACGACGACGACGACGGCTTCCTCAGCTCAGTGGAGCGGTACGACCCTGCGCTGGATGCGTGGGAGGCGGTGGCGCCGATGGCGGTGTCGCGGTGTGATCACGCCATGGCGGTGCTCGACGGCAAGCTTTACGCTGTGGGAGGCCAGAACTACGACGACGGCTGGCTCAGCTCGGTGGAGCGGTACGACCCGGCCACCAACGCGTGGGAAGAGGTGGCGCCGATGGCGGTGGAGCGGAATCTTGCCAGCGTGGCGGTGCTCGACGGCAAGCTATACGCTGTGGGCGGGCACGGCGGTGGCCACCTCAGCTCGGTGGAGCGGTACGACCCGGGGAGGGATGCATGGGAGGCTGTGGCGCCGCTGACGCTGGCTCGCTTCGGGGCCGGGGTGGCGGCGCTGGACGGCAAGTTGTACGCTGTGGGCGGCAGGGTCGAGGAGGAGGACGAGGATGCGGTTGACAGTAACACGGTGGAGCGGTTCGACCCGGCCACCAACGCGTGGGAGGAGGTGGTGCCGATGGCGACGGCGCGGGCCTTTGCTGATGCTGTCGCGCTCCTGATTGTAGAGGAGCATATGTAGAATCGGTAGACGGTGATCCAGAGAAGAATCAAAGGGATTTTTTTGCAACCGTTATCTGGGATGCGTTTTTCTCTTTCTGGTGCGTGGTAGTCTCTCGAGTGCGTGGTGGCAAGCACGCGGGCGGCACCCTGCAGGCCATCCGCGTGCTCGGGGCGCACCTTGGTCTCGTCGAGAGCGCGAAAAACCGCTCTCGACTCAACGCAATTCTCATTTTTCTTTTTTTTGCGCATATACACACACATATGACGAGAGAGCGGCTGACGGCCTTCGTCGCCGCGCAGCCGTCGACGCGTCGGATCGTGTGTGTCACTTCGGGAGGCACCACGGTCCCACTGGAGCGCAACACGGTGCGCTTCATCGACAACTTCTCCACTGGCAACCGCGGGGCTGCTCTCGCCGAGCGCTTTCTCGCCGAGGGCTATGCTGTCATCTTTGTGCACCGCGCCGGCTCCGCCTTCCCGTTCGCCCGCCGCCTGCTGCCACCAGCCGTCTCGCCCGAGGAGTGGCTCCGCAGCCTCGGCGACGCCGCCGCGTCTGCCGAGTGCGAGCGCGCCGCCGCGACATTTTCGGCGTGTGCTCCGCGCCTCCTCGCACTGCCCTTCACGGCGGTGAGCGAGTATCTGGCGCTGCTGCGCGAGACGAGCTGCGCGCTCGCGCCCGCTGGCGCTCGCGCCATGGTCTGCCTCGCCGCGGCTGTTAGCGACTTTTACGTGCCGGACGACGCGCTGCCGGAGCACAAGATCCAGTCGGCAGCCAGCGGCGGCGACACGGCGGCGGACGGCAGCCTGACGCTGCAGCTGCAGCCGGTGCCAAAGATGCTGGGCGCGATCAAGGGGCTCCAACCCACCAACCTGGTTTGTGGACCTCCCGCACCTGTCCTGACAGTCCTGACAGAGTCCTGACAGAGTCCTGACAGAGTCCTGACAGAGTCCTGACAGAGTCCTGGCGGGGTCCTGACGGCGCACGGTCTTCACAGTGCTCACAAGTGCCTCCGACGAGACCTCCACCTTCCTTCACTGCAACCCTCCTTCCCCTCCCCCGCAGCAGTGAATGATAGACGCCCAGCCCCCCTTTCGACCGTGCGCGCCCTCTGCGGAATCGTCCTGATGGGGCAGTCCTGACGCAAACTTGAGAGTCCTGACAAGCAAACTTGAGAGTCCTGACAGAAACTTGAGAGTCCTGACAGAAACTTAGAGTCCTGACAGACAAAAGAAATCACGCTGACTCTCGCGCCACTCGGCTCGACCATGAAAAGCGCACAAGCAAGAGAGGCGGCCATGGTGCAGGCAACGTTACAGCCGGCAACGTGCAAGAAGGCAGCAAAGCTCGGCCACGACGTCCATGGCCCGCGCGCCCCCGATTTGCCACCGGCGGCCTGCAGGCCAGCGCCGAGCAGCGGCTGACCGACTGCTGACCGAGGCAGCGCCCACGGCAGCGCCCACAGCAGCGCCCACGGCAGCACCCACAGCAGCACCCACGACAGCGCCCACGGCAGCGCACACGGCTTGGCTGGCCATGTCAGCCGCGCAGGGACCCTCCCGCGGGTCCAACCCGAAGCGCTCGACCGCTCGACGGCGCAAGTCGGCTGACGGAGCGAGCCGCATAGCCCTCCAGTGCTCACCGCAGGATCAGGCCCGACCGGCCCACGCTCACGGCCTGGCCTGCCTGTGGACCAGCAAACTCGCTGGCTGCACGCGAGCGAAGAGCTGCGTGGCTGGGTTGTGACCGTCCCCGTTGCGCTTTCCCTCAGTGGAGGGCCGTCCCTGCCCTCGGGAGTAACTCGACTGTACACCCCTCCCTACTCTCTCGCTAAGGGCTCTGTTCACAGCGGGGGGACAGTGGTTGTCCTGGCGGAGTCCTGACGGAGTCCTGACGGAGTCCTGACAGAGTCCTGACAGAGTCCTGACAGAGTCCTGACGGAGTCCTGACAGAGTCCTGACGGCCTATTTTGGAGGTTTTCAACTTTGAGGTATTGTAACTATGTGAAGGTGAAATGAATGAATCAGTTCTTTGGGACAGTGCAATCCGTTTAATTATTACCTCCAACTCAAAAAAAGTCTGATATCAAACGGACAACGGGGTCCCTTATGGCTGGCCTGTAAAGGTAAGGTGCGGGAGGTCCACAAACCAGGTTCACCCGCGCTAGGTCTCGGGGGACGCAGGGGTCACACCCGACGACCTCGCTCGGGAACTAGCCGGGGCAGTCGGAGAAGGGGCAACTCCGTGCACTGACGGTCGGCCGCCAGAAAACACGCCTGCGTGGATCGCGTCACACCAATCCTCGCTACCCAACGCGGCCAAAGGAGATCCACCTCGAAAACCTCGAGAACACGGCACCGCACCGCACACCCACCCACCCACCGCCCCGCCTAGGTGCTAGGTGGGAAAGAGATGAGGAGATGGAGCAGCCCGAAGGAGAAGCCTCAAGTATGGGAGGTTAAGCAGATGCGTCACGCGGCCCGGCGTTTCACCTCGCCTCACCTCGCCTCATCTCGCCTCATCTCGCCCCACATTTTTTTCTTTTCTAGACCACTCCGAGACCGACCCAAGACCGACCCGAGACCCGAGATCGACCCGAGATCGACTCGAGATCGACCCGAGATCGACCCGAGATCGACCCGAGATCGGCACGAGCGATCAACCCAACAATGCCCCAGAGCCCCCTCCGGGGGGACCCCCCCTCACCCCGAGTGTCCGTGTCCTTCGCGAGTCACCGATGGGGAGCGGGGGGGGGTGCGAGATGCACAGGGGAGGCTGGGGAGGGGGGGGTCCACTCTGAAGACTGCCGACCGCGGGGGGGTTTTGTCCCACAGGGTTTTACCCTCCGCGTGAGGATCGGCGCGGCGAGGGGGTAGGTTCGAATTCGCCGCGCAACATTTCACCCCCACAGGACCCCGCCCACCCCCCCTCATGGTCCCACCTAGTACCCCAATGAGCCTTCGCACCCCCTCCTTGCGCAGTGTCCCCCACTATGTGTCGCCGTTATCGGGGCACGCTATCCTGTGTAGTCAGGGCAAGTGGGGGCGGGGGGCACTCCCATCTCTCCTGTGTACGGGTGGTGACTGTCTCTAGTCTCGGAGGGGGGCTTGAAGCTAAGAATATTTTATTTCTCTCTCTCTCTCTCTCTCTCTCTCTCTCTCTCTCTCTCTCTCTCTCTCTCTCTCTCTCTCTCTCTCTCTCTCTCTCTCTCTCTCTCTCTCTCTCTCTCTCTCTCTCTCTCTCTCTCTCTCTCTCTCTCTCTCTCTCTCTCTCTGCTACCGGGTACCGTCGGGTACTTATTTTAAGAGCAGGTAAACAGCAATAGATCCGGCCCTCAAGCGGCCTAATCGATACCCAGCCCTCACGGAATCGGTCCCTTGTTGTACAGCAATCGATCCTTCACAGTGCCCGTCCTGCCAACTTGCCGAGAATCGGTCCCCCAGGTCACCTGTGGCGCGAAGCTGATGTCTCCCGCCCTCGGCGCGCCCAACGCGCAGCGGCGGCAGACCGCCCCCTCCGGTTCGAGGGGCGCCTGGAGCTGAGCGGGCTGCCTCCGCCAGAGTTTGGCTCGCCCACCGGCGGGCTGTCACCCTGCCACGGGTCGCAAGCCCTCTGCCGGCCGGAGCGCAGGCTGCGCGGGCTTCCAGCAATTGGTCCCTTGGCAAGCGCGAATCGGTCCCCCTGGCTCCAGGAACTGATCCGGCACTACACCCGGATCTATTGCTGTTTACCTGCTCTTAAAATAAGTACCCGACGGTAAGCGGTCCGAACCCTGGGAGAGAGCATGGTGTGGCGCTCCAAGCTCGGCAGTGCTGAGCCGGACAACGGGCATTTGACGAGCTCCGAGGCGTCGCACGGTGGCTGGGCCTTCAGCAGCCACACTGCGCCCATCAGTGGCTTCAGCGAGCTGCTGTGCCTCGGCCGCCGCCTGGCCGACCCCTACGCCGCCGGCGACGTCCAGAGCCACCCGTTTTGCGTCCACGGCGCCAGCCGCTCGCTCAAGCCGTGCATGTGCGGCTCGGCGCTCGTGATGGGCATTCGCATGCACATGCCCGACGCCATCTGGGGCGCCAACCACGTCTCCCTCGCCCACGAGGCGTCGGGGCTGACCGTCTCGTTTACTGCGGAGGGCGCTCTCCTTCACTGGGCGCGCGACTCCGTCGAGCACGGCTCGCGGGACCTGCGCGTGCCCGTCGCCAACGCGGCCGTGTGGCAGGAGCGGCTGCGCGCCGCGCAAAAGGACGCCAGTCTCGACTATGACTGGACGTTCCGCTGCGACGGCTATGCCGGCGACGTCGAGGTTCGGCCGCGCAGCGGCGCGCGCGGCTGGGCAAGGAAGCACGAGAAGCAGGCGTCGCTCGCCATGCTCGGCAGCCTCGCGCCCGCCGTGCAGCCGCTATCCTCGGGCGCGTCAGACGCCGTGGGTGGCGGCGGCGCGGCTCCCGTCGCATCGCCACACCGCGGCGGGTGCCACCCCGCGCCCCTGGCCCTACACCTCACCCTCACCCCAACCCCAACCCCGTGCCCGACCCGTGCCCTGACCCTGGCCCTGACCCTGGCCCCGGCCCCAGGCGACGGCCTCGCGGCGGACGGCGTCGCCGGCAGGCTGCTCCGGCAGCGGGGCGCGATTCTGTGGTCTGCCGACGTGCTGCTGTACGAGGCAGCGGGACTGGGGCGGCTCGTAGTTGAGCAATGGAGGAGCTGAGTGTTCAATCGATGCATTGGCAGGACCAGCTGCACGACTGGGGCGTCTCGACGCTGCGCGTCCGCGTCCGCGTCATGGAGTGGGGCTTCATCGCCCTCCTCTCGCACTACCTCCGCGTTCAGGGCGAGAGACGCAGCCGAGAGACAGCGGAGAGGCAGCCGAGAGGCAGCCGAGAGACAGCGGAGAGGCAGCCGAGAGACAGCGGAGAGGCAGCCGAGAGACAGCGGAGAGGCAGCCGAGAGGCAGCCGAGAGACAGCGGAGAGGCAGCGGAGAGGCAGCCGAGAGGCAGCGGAGAGGCAGCCGAGAGACAGCCGAGAGGCAGCCGAGAGGCAGCGGAGAGGCAGCCGAGAGGCAGCGGAGAGGCAGCCGAGAGACAGCGGAGACGCAGCCGAGAGGCAGCCGAGAGGCAGCCGAGAGACAGCGGAGAGGCAGCCGAGAGACAGCGGAGAGGCAGCCGAGAGACAGCCGAGAGGCAGCCGAGAGACAGCGGAGAAGCAGCCGAGAGGCAGCCGAGAGGCAGCCGAGAGGCAGCGGAGAGGCAGCCGAGAGGCAGCGGAGAGGCAGCCGAGAGGCAGCGGAGAGGCAGCCGAGAGACAGCCGAGAGGCAGCCGAGAGGCAGCGGAGAGGCAGCCGAGAGACAGCGGAGAGGCAGCCGAGAGACAGCCGAGAGGCAGCCGAGAGGCAGCCGAGAGGCAGCCGAGAGGCAGCCGGCGTGCCGCCGCTGGGTGCGGGGTTCACAGCTGGCCGTCTCGCTGCGCTCTCACCCGACGCCGTCTTCGCCGCAGGCGCTGCGGTGCGGCAGAGGGAGGTGCGGCTCTCCCTTCGCTGAGGGGAGATCCGCCCGAGATCAGCCGAGATCAGCCGAGGTTACGCGCGGGTAGGTGCGGCTCTTCCACCGTTTCGGCGAGCAGACGCTGCTGCGCTCGAGCCGTACGCTGCAGGGCGCGCACTCCGCCGGCGCGTCGGAGTGGGACGCGACGGCGATGAGTCCGGCGGAGGCGGAGGCATGCACGGTCTGTGGCGAGGCGGAGGAGGACTTGCTGCTCCCCGGGGGCGGGCAGGCTGGCGCGCAGGCCGCGGCCGCGCCGCCGCCGCCCGAGCTTGTCACCAGGACGCCTTCCCGGGCGTCTCCTCGGACACCTCCCAGACACCTCCGAGACCCGCCGCGCTTGTCACCACCAGGACCCTCCCCAGCGGAAAGACGGTCTGCGTGCGGGCGGCTCCAGTTGCAGCGCCGGCCGGGCTTGTGCCGTTGAGAATGTCGGTGCCGCTCAGCGCAGCGGTGACTCCCCCCCTCGTCCCCGCGCCTGCTGCTGTTCCATCGGCGGCCGTGCCGCATTCGCCGCCCGCGCCGCATTCGCCGCCAGCGCCCTTCGCGCCGCCCGCGGCTTGCGGCCTGGGAGGCCCTCTCGCTGCCGCGCCAGAGCGCGAAACGGCGCCGCGCCGGCTGCCTTCGCTGCACGCCTCGCCGGCTGTCGCCAGTCCCACCGCGCTATGCGTGTCGGACGACGGGGTTGCGATCGCCGTCGGCGGAGAGAGCGGTGGCGTCATGCTGCTGCGCGCGGCGCCGGCGGGCGGGGGGGAGGTCACCGAGGTGTGGCGCTCGGAGCGCGCGCACCGCGGCGCGGTCACGGCGCTGCGTTTCGTGCCGCGCGGCGGCGGCGAGGCGGGCGGCGAGGAGGGCGGCGGCGCGGAGGGCGGCGGCGCGGAGGGCGGCG